AAAAAAAGATACTGAAGTTCAATTCAGTTTGAAGTAGCTTTGTATACTTCTCCTTTTCACCAATCCCTTAGTGATTTTATGAAATCAGGTCACCAGAAATAATAGTATACATGAAGGAGAAAAATTTACATTTTGTGACCTTGAATTTTTAAAAGGTAAATATTCAATACCAAAAGAAAGGTGGTCTTTGATTTTTAAGGACTGTTTTCCCAAAATTGGTAAATTTAACTGTGGTCTGCCTTATCACTGTGGCATTTTCAGTGTTTGTTCATGGGACCAGAGTCAGAAGAGGCCTCCCTAATCAGGTCAGTTACTTTAAAATGCTAGGCCCAAAAGAGTAGGATAAGTACTTTCACCGAAGAGGTGTGCAGAGCAGCCAATTTACATGAGAGAAATTTTTAATGATTTATTTTTTGTGAATAAATTTATCTGGATGTAGAACTTTGTGACCTGTTAACCTGCTTAAATACTTTTAGAGAAAGTTGGTTATTAATTGAATATTTCAGTTCTATTTGTGTTATGTACTTTATTTTTCTCTATACTTTGCTTCATTTAGGTCTGTGAAATGAAAAACTGCAATAAATGCATCTATTTTGAAGCTAAGAAGAAGCAAGATCTTTATATGTGGTAAGAGAATGAATTATTACTATATTTTTTCATTGTATGTATTTGGCACAGGGTCTTAGTACACAGCTTAGACTCGTGATCCTTCAGTTTTCAGTGCCCCCCAGCACTGGGATTGCAGATGGTGAGTGCATCACCACCCCCGGACTCGCTCACCAGCTCAGCGAGTTGGGGAGGGGATGGCAAGGCATGCAGGACCAGGGATTGAACCCTGGTCCTTGTGCTTTCCAAGGCAGGTGCTTAGTCCACTCAGCTCTCTCACTGGCCCAAGAGAGTGAATTATGAAAGGAAAAATGAAGCAAATAGATTTGATTTCCCAAGATGTGAGGCCTTTAAAAAATTAAATGATTATTTTAAACCTATTAGTGTGTCTTCTTATGGTAGAGAAATGGTGTTTACTGTATTGTAGATTTTTTTCCTCTAAAGAGGATAGTTTAAAAAAAAAACAGACATAGTAACAGAATTTAACTAAACAAGATGGTAGGAATTCAACAATAGTTGTTATATTGCATATTGTTTTCAAATAAGTTGTTTAGATTTCTGGATTCTTAATGACCAACCTACCCTCATACATTTCAGGCTTTCAAATTCACCTCATGGACCCTCTGCCAAATTTCTTGTTCAAAATAGTAAGTTGATTCAATTTAAAATTTTTCTAATGTAAACGTTTTAAATCTTTTGGAATAATTGTGCCAAAGTTATAACAATTTTTACTTTTGTTACAATTTTTCTAGTTCATACCCTAGCTGAATTAAAGATGACTGGAAACTGTTTGAAAGGTTCTCGACCACTTTTATCTTTTGACCCTGTAAGTTTTTTGTTCTCTGTATGTCTAATTTTTCTTAGTCTGTATGATTGCTTTTCAGTGGATTTAATTGTGCATATACTTCAAAATAATTATTATAAAGCCAATTTTGAATACGTCACTGTCAAATGACATTTGTATTTTATTTTTATAGGCTTTTGATGAATTGTCACATTATGCTTTGTTAAAAGAACTCTTAATTCAGGTAAATATTCTAGAAAATATTTTCAGTAATATAAATGAATGTCTACAACACAAACAGTGGACATTGGAATAAGGAAGTAACTTTTTTTTTTTTTTTTTGGTGGAACCAGGGATTGAACTCAGGTTCTTGCACTTGCCAGGCAATTGCTTATTCTACTGAGCCATCTCCCCTCCTAAGGAAGTAATATTATGTGCTACTTTTTTTTAACAGATTTTTAGTACACCACGGTATCATCCCAAAAGCCAACCATTTGTGGACCATGTATTTACTTTCACCATTCTGGATAATAGGATATGGTTTCGGAACTTCCAGGTTAGCTTTCCTTTAATTTTTAATTATGCTTTAAATAAAAATTTTTAAATGTAAAATAGTTTCCAAAACTTCCAGAGATTTGCCTCAAGTAAGTATGTACTGTTTCATTCCTTAAATAATTTCTACCTACTTCATGACTGTCAGTCTGTAGAGAGCATAAACTTCCTAACAGTCAACAATGTGTTTGATTTTCTTAAAACTCAAAGTATAGACCACTGCCTTTCCGAGGTGTAGGCTAATTGCATTCTAAATTTAAGCTAAGTCCTATACAGATATAGTAAAATATGTTTCTCAAACAAAATGTTACAATCCTCTGGGGCTTCAGAGGGAGCATTGGTTAAGATTTAGAAAAATGTAGACTTTGAGGAAGAAATATTAGATGAATTATACGGCTCATTCAGAAGAGGAGATTCTAGAGATCTTAAAGCAGGAATTTGTCAGAATAAATCTGCAGAGAAATGGAAAAGAACAGGAACAAATTTTAGACAGGACATCAACTGGGCTGTTAGCTGCATGTTTTATACTTGGCTGGATACCTGCAATATGAGTTAAACATGTATCACCTGCCGCCACTCCCTCCCCATTTTTCCCAGTACTTGGAATTAAACCCAGGCCTTTACATTGAGCTGCTTGCTTCCCTGGCCCTGTTTATTTTTATTCTGAGATAGTGGCTGAGTCTGTCCATGAGCTAGGCTGGGCTTGAATCCTCCTGCCTCAGCCTCTCAGGATCATAGGCATTTGCTGCCACACCAGGCTTATGTTTCTTTGAAGGCAGACATACCTGAACTAACAAATAGTATATGTGAGAAGCAGGATAGCAACCAAATGTAGGTTACTCATTTAAAAGAACACACTGAAAGAACATTTTTTTCCCAACAATTCTATAACAAATATCAGAAAATATTGACTGATAATTGGTATTTGCCAAGATTGTCCCTTATCTCTACCTTAATTTGATTGACATTCTGTTTAGCTCTTTCATATAAAGTCATACCAATTTTACCTGTTAGGAATAATATATCCAAACCAATATCAATGTTTCCTTTCTATTAAAGATCATAGATGAAGATGCTCAACTTGTAGAAATAGGACCTCGTTTTGTTTTAAATCTGATAAAGAT